TTATGTCTAAATATTTGACAAATAAATTGTATCTGAAGCAAAAAGTTGTATGGACTGAAGATGCAAGAAGGTTCTAATCTGACACAACACGTGAATAGCTTCAATCAAATAATCATGGATTTATCACGGCTTGATGTGAGTATTGAGGATGAAGACAGAGCAATGATTTTGTTGTGTTCACTGTATTCTTCCTATGAACACCTGGTGACTACTTTTACATAAGGGAACAAACTATCAAAGTTGATGAGATTACTGCAGCATTGTTGGCTCACAACCACCGAAAGCAGAATGTAGGAGAAAGATCACTTGGCGATAATTTATATGTGAAAGGTAATTAGGATCGTGGAAGGAAGAAAAAAAAGGAGATTTATGAAAGACGAAATTCCAGATCAAAGTTTAAAGACAAAAAAATAATTCACTGCTACAAGTGCAAGGAGTCGGGTCATATGAAGAGGGATTGTCCATGCTTGAGAAACACAACGAAGAGAAAGCTGATGCATCATCCAAGTATGTAAATGTGGTACGGAGTGACAATTCAGACTGCAGTGATGATATGCTTTCAGTTTCATCAACTCATTTCATGGATGCATGAATTCTTGATTCATGGTGATGTTATCACATAACACTTAATAAGGAGTGGTTCACTTCATACATGTTAACTAATTCTGGCTCAGTCTATTTAGGTGATGATAGATGTTGCAATAATGTTGGTATTGGTGAAGTCAGAATTCAAATGTATGATGACACTGTTAGAACATTATGTGATGTCAAACACATTTTAGATCTAAGAAAAAATTTGATTTCCATGGGCACTTTACATAGAAATGGTTTTATTCTTAAAGCAGATGAGGATAGGGAAACCATCAAAACTGTTAAGGGTGCACTGACTAGCAGATTTTGTTAAAATCTAGTCAGAGATAGACAGAGACACACTAATATAAGGCCTACTAATAGATTGGGTTGTGAAAAATTGTTCTCTTGTACACTTCTCATCAATAACGACGATCCAACCACTTTTCAAAGAACTATCACTACCCAAGAGAAAGAGAAATGAATGAGTGCAATGATTGAAAAGATGGACTCTTTATAGAAAAATTGCACATGGGAGCTAGCTCCTTCTTTAGGGAAAGAAAATTATTGGGTGCAAGTGGGCGTACAAAAGAAAACCAACAATATCAGAAAAAATGGGGAAAAGTTCAAGGCTTAACTGGTAGCAAAGGGATTTTCACAGCAGAAGGGGAAAAATTATGATGAAATCTTTTCTCCTGTGGTCAGACATACTTCAATCAAGGCAGTCCTTGCATTAGTAGCTATTTGAGATTTATATTTGGAGCAGATGGATGTTAAAACTGCTTTCTTGCATGGTGGTTTGAATGAGCAGATTTACATGGAGCAGCCAGAAGGTTCACTCAACCTGGACAGGAGCATCCGATTTGCAGATTAAAGAAATCGCTGTATGAGTTGAAACAGTCACCAAGACAATGGGATAAGCGGCTTGACTCCTACTTGATTCAGATTGGCTACAAACGATATGAGTATGATTGTTGTGTTTATTTGAAGAGCCTTGATAATCGCTCTATTATTTTTCTGTTACTGTACGTTGACGATATATTGATTGCTGCAAAGAATATGAATGATGTATGCAGTTTGAGAGCTTTATTTAGCCACGCGTTTAACATGACAGACTTGTGTTCTACAAAAATGATTCTTGTAATAGAGATTCATCGAGATTGAGGCTCAATACGATTATGTTTATCTCAACGAGAATATGTTGAGAAAGTGCTAGATAGGTTTTGAGATGAGCAAAACAAAGCCTGCGAGCACTCCATTGACAAATCATTTTAAGTTTTTTTCAGAACAGTGTCATAAGACAGATATAGAAATCGAAAACATGACAAATCTCTCATATCACAGTGCAGTTGACTGCTTGATGTACGCAATTGTATGTACTCGTCCTGATTTGGCTCATGCTGTTAGTTAAGTCTGCAAATATATGCCTAAACCTGAAAGACTACATTGAGAAGCAGTTAAGTAGATTTTTCAGGTATCTGAAGGGTACTGTAGGACATTGAATTATTTTTGGCAGTTAGTATAATGATCCTTCAGTTGTGAGGTACGTTGCTTCAGACTATGCATGTGATTTGGATGACAGAAAGTTTAGAACTGATATGTATGGGTATGTGTTTACTCTTAATGAAGAGTCTATATGTTGGAAATCAACAATTCAGTTTATTGTGACATTATCCACAACTGAAGTTGAGTACATGACAGTAGCTGTGCCGGGAGCGGAAGCGGAAAAAGAAGCCTTATGGCTTGCTGGGCTAGTAAAAGAACTGAGCGTTGAGCAAGATGAAGTTCATTTGCATTGTGACAGTCAGAGTGCCATTTATCTGGCTAAGAACCAGGTGTACCATGAGAGAACCAAGCTTATTGATGTCAGGTATTACAAGATCAGAGAATTGATTGCTTATGGTGAGATACTGTTGCAGAAGGTTCCTACTGATGAAAATACAACTGATACGTTACCAAGCCAGTTACTATCAGCAAGTTTTTGCATTGCTTGGACTTGTTGAATGTTTACAGTTGATAGAGAAGCATAGTGGCCTAACCCACTTCAGTGTGTAAGAAGCTCAATGATGTATTTCTCCAAAGGTGTTGGATATTCACCAAGGTGGAGATTTGTTAGGTATGTCTTATATACCATATAAGGGACAGATGCTGAAACGAAGCAGAACGGAGCAAAGCGAAAGAATCTGTCAAATCGGGGAGTTTTGTTATGTGGGTTGGGGGTGCGGGAGCAACGCCCCACAATAGGGTGTAGGGGTAATTTTGTAATTACATATTGTACTCAGGGTTTATTCCCTAGTTCATTCAATTCTGTATTATGTACTACTTTTCTTAGATTGAGGGAAAGCCACCGCTTTGTTTCCGAGGACGTAGACAACTTTACCGAACCTCATTAAATCTCTATGCGTTCTTATGGATTTGTGTCGATTTCTTTTTTCTTCGCCCTAATTTCTCAACAAATATATTTGAATTTTATAGGCTATATGATTTGGTGAGGAAGGAAATAATGATAAAGCAATTTAATATATTTGAAATATTTTAGTGCTTTGTTTCAATGTGAATCCATAATTGCATTGTGTTGTTTGGTTTGAAGAAAAATAAATTCAAAATAAAAAGAATCCTTCAAGATCAGAGATTGCCGTTAGAGAGCTACGAGAGTTGGGCACGGACAATGATGGTGGTGGCAAGGGTAGTGAGCAATTGGTGATGGGCATCCGATAGCAAGGGCCTTGGCTAGGGCTGTCAATTTAGCTCTTTGTTCGCGAACAACTCGTGTTCGGCTCGTTTATCTGGCTAAGAACCAGGTGTACCATGAGAGAACCAAGCTTATTGATGTCAGGTATTACAAGATCAGAGAATTGATTGCTTATGGTGAGATACTGTTGCAGAAGGTTCCTACTGATGAAAATACAACTGATACGTTACCAAGCCAGTTACTATCAGCAAGTTTTTGCATTGCTTGGACTTGTTGAATGTTTACAGTTGATAGAGAAGCATAGTGGCCTAACCCACTTCAGTGTGTAAGAAGCTCAATGATGTATTTCTCCAAAGGTGTTGGATATTCACCAAGGTGGAGATTTGTTAGGTATGTCTTATATACCATATAAGGGACAGATGCTGAAACGAAGCAGAACGGAGCAAAGCGAAAGAATCTGTCAAATCGGGGAGTTTTGTTATGTGGGTTGGGGGTGCGGGAGCAACGCCCCACAATAGGGTGTAGGGGTAATTTTGTAATTACATATTGTACTCAGGGTTTATTCCCTAGTTCATTCAATTCTGTATTATGTACTACTTTTCTTAGATTGAGGGAAAGCCACCGCTTTGTTTCCGAGGACGTAGACAACTTTACCGAACCTCATTAAATCTCTATGCGTTCTTATGGATTTGTGTCGATTTCTTTTTTCTTCGCCCTAATTTCTCAACAAATATATTTGAATTTTATAGGCTATATGATTTGGTGAGGAAGGAAATAATGATAAAGCAATTTAATATATTTGAAATATTTTAGTGCTTTGTTTCAATGTGAATCCCTGTCAATTTAGCTCTGTGTTCGCGAACAACTCGTGTTCGGCTCGTTCGTTAAGCCTAACACGAGAGTTGGGCGTGGGCGATGATGGTGGAGGTGGCGAGGGTAGCGAGCAATTGGTGATGGGAATTCAATAGCAAGGTCCTTGGCTAGGGTTGTCAATTTGGCTCATTGTTCCCGAACAACTCGTGTTCTACTCGTTCGTTAAGCCTAACGAGTCGAACACGAACAAATTTTTAAGTTCGAAATGTAAACGAGCTGAACACAAATATAAATTTGTTCGCTCGTGCTCGACTCAAATTAGCTCAAAAATAAATAAATCGTGTTCGACTCGAATTGGTTCGAAAGTAAATAAATAAATAAATATATACATAATAAATATTTATAAAATTAAATATTATAAATTATAACTAATTAATTTTTATACAAACAATTTTTTTTAGAAAAATTATTATTTTTATTTTATTTAAAAAAATTATTATTATAATAAATTTTTATTATAATGAACTAATTTTGAGCCAAACACAAACATAAATAAATTTCTCGAGCAGAACAAGAATACACAATTTATGAGCCAATTTCAAACACGAGTCAATTTTGAACGAGCCGAGCCCGAGCTTATTTGCAGCCTTGGCCAACAAGGTGTTGGGGGGGGGGGTTATAAAACATGGTACATTTAGAATTTATTTAAATAGAATGAATTCAAAAATATTAAAATTAAATTAAGTAGAAAATTCTAAATGTATTAAACTTTTATGCTACTTCTACTTTTTCTTTTTCCGTGCCAATCCTTAAAATTTTTAAAATTCACATAGAAAGTAATATGATGTACTTTTTTTTTTAATTTTAATTGTCGACTAAATAACTCCTTGATCAAAATTTGACATGAAAGTTTAAATTCATTCATTTCTACGAAGAAAATGGATAAAATCCGATCCATTGATTGCTTTACCCATCTGTCCTCTGATTCTGCCATCGTCGTGCAAACCTACCTAACTGCTTCTTGATTACAGTAAGCTCATATTGCGGTATTTCAGGACTTGGTCATGGCGGCGGGGATAACGGCATTGTCGAACCACTCCTTCCTGAGAGCGGAGCAATCTGGTAATCTTGATCTCTCGTTCGATCGAGTTGGAATCGCCCACCACTCGAGAAGGGACCTCGTCTTCATTGTGAACCCTAAAGGTGCTATCTGTTTATTGGATGTTGATCTCTCTTTCTTATCCATTTTCTTACTTGGCATAACGGGAATTTGTAGATTCTGTTCAGGTGCCAATGGCCGGACGGGGAGAGAGTGGAAGAAGCTGCTGCCTTATCTTAAAAGGCGACTCGGCGACCAATGCAACGTAAGATTCGATTGTGTTTTGGCTTCAGGTCGTAGGTTGTTGTTGTTTTTTTCTGTGGCGTTTGATTAATTTTTGAAATTTTATATCTGTTTCTGTAAATTTGTAGATTTTAATGGTAAAGTTCAAATGATGGGCAATTTTATGGAGCTATAAAAAAGAACTTGTTGTTTGCGAAGGGTTTGTGTTCATCTCATTAAGGAGCTCATGTTTAATTCGTTTTTTAAGCAAGCAAGCCGAATACAAATATTTTTAAAGCTCAATTTATAAGCGAACCGGTCATTTGTTTGTGTTCGGTTTGCTCACTTTTTTTCTAGAATTAATTTAGCTATTAAATAAGTAATATTAATATAGTATCTTTATATTGATTTTTTTTTTATGTTGCACATAAGAAAATGATTAATTTTATTATTTTTTATATCAATCAAGCTAATTATAAGCCAAACATGAGTTGAAATGAACAAACAAATTCGAATGGAACTGAACACAAATATGCTATTCACCAATCATTTCAAACATAAGCTTATTTCTAAAAAAAAAAGAAAAAAAAATGAGCCAAACATGAACAAACACTGGGCTCGGTCAAGCTCAACTTATTAACATCCCTACCTCTATATCCAATATCTTTATGTATTTTTGCAAATTGGAATCTAATCATTGTCTATCTTAGTTTTGTAGATTGCAATTTCGTGACTCAATATGTTGTTATAAAAGTGTAGCACTTAGCATCAACGAAATTGAATTATACTTGATATTTCTCTACTTTCTCTTATTTGATTCTTTCATTATTTTTTTCCTCTATTTAAGTTTACCTAGTTCAATACTGCCACTGTCGGGTCACAAGCATTATATATGAAATGTAGAGGAATACGTTAGTTAGTTGACAATCAACATAAAATTTGTCGAAAAATCATGACATGAATCCTTTTAATCATTGTGTAAATGCTAGGACGTCCCTTAGAAGCAACATGCTGTATGACCTGAATACAGTGAAAAATGTGCAAGGGTCGCTACATTGGCGCCCTGGTGTATTGTCAAATAAGCAACGATTCCCACATTATGGATGGCTCGAAATTGACTCGTTAAACTAATCACATCAAAACCGTAATCACCATATCAGTTGATGTGATTAATGAAGAATGTAGAATCACATTAGAAATACCTAACTGCTTCTTGATTACAGTTTTGACAATCAACTTCTAAATATTTCTAAAATCTTCTACTCCAGTACAATATATTTCACAAAACCATAATTAGATATTTGACAATCAACTTCATTCTTCATTAATCACATCAAAATCGTAATCACCATATCAAAAGAAAGATGTTGATATGAATTATATTCAAGTCATTAAATATATGTATACTAGAGCTGTTACTTTTGCTCGAACAAAATGAGGATTGATCAAATACTTTCCTATTTTAGTTGGATTACATTAGGGATTAGCTTTACGCCCATATCTTTTTGCTTTAGTTATTGATGCTCTTACTGGACATTTATAGGAGGTTTACCTTAGTGTATACTTTTCGCTAATGATATTCTTCTTGTAGATAAGACTAGAGAAAGAGCTCAGAAATAACTTGAATTTTGGAGGTCTACTTTGGAGTATGAAGGCCTTCGTTTGAGTAGAACTAAAACCGAGTACATGGAATGTAATTTTAGTAGTAGTAGCTCTAGTGACATAGTTGTAGTTATGAGTGATCAAATTATTAAAAGGTGTGAATGCTTTAGATATCTCGGGTCTATTGTTCAAAGTAATTGGTGATATAGATGGAGATGCCTATTAGTAGAATTCTAGTTGGTTGGTTGAAGTGGAGGAATGCTTCGAGCCTATTGTGTGACCGAAAGAAAAATTTTATAAGATGGTGGCGAGACCTACAATAATCTATGTCGGAAGCTTTAGCGATGACGAGACCTTTAAAAGAGAAGCATAAAACTAAGTGAACCGTTGCTAAGATGAGGATGCTTAGTGGATAAGTGGCTTCGTGGATGAGTGACATTACACTTAGAGACAAAATACAAAATGAATATATCCGTGATAGGGTTGGTGTAGCTCCAATGACGAACAAAATTAGAGGGAGTCATCTTAGATGGTTTAGTCATATTAAACGTCGACCATCTGATGATCCGATTAGGAGAGTAGATATTTTAGATTTTATATATGTTAAGAAAGACAAAGATAGACCTAGAAAGACTTGGGCGTATTGTATAAAAAATGATCTTAATTTATTAGAATTAAATGAAATATGACACTCAATAGGACGCAATGGAGAAAAAGGATTGATGTAGCCGACCCACCTAGTGGGATAAAGACTTGTTGTTGGTGTTGTTGTTGTAAGTTTGCCTAGTTTGTGTTACATCCCTGGCCAATCTTGACTAGCATTATTGTTGCTGACTTTGTTATTTGTAATGTAGATCATCATTATCTTCATCATCATCAAGCATGTTAACCACATAGCTTCTTAACCCTGTAACTCTGCTACTATATTGGTATGTGCAGCCAAGGGGTTTCGGTGAAAGGATGATGTAATTGAGAAGTTTATTTTAACTATAGAATTGAACTTATTATAAATTAATTGAAGTAGATTAATATATTGTCCATCTGATTTGCATTTTAAGCTGATCATCCTGTTTTCATTTTGTAGTTCAATAGTTCCGTTCAGCAATATTCCAAAAAGCATGACTACTATAGATATTGCTTAAGAAAACAAATATTTGGTGAATTCCTTTGTTTATTTAAGCTAAAATACAGTTGTCAATTGTCATCTTTTTTGTGATTTCATCCATCATTTATCTAAACTTAAAATGTAAATTTTTTCTCTTCTAATTTTTTCTTTTTATAAAACTGTATCTCTTTTTATGCATTATTTTTATTGTTTTCATTTCTCAATATCATCAGGTTCATGAATCATTTACTTCAGGACCTTCTCATGCTGTGGACATAACCAGGGAGGTAAAGAATTCCATTTAAGGCATGATAGATAAGCCTAAATCTTTTATTCTCTATTGTATCTCTCAGATATCAGCAGTCCTAACATGACAACTAATACCCGGAATATAGGCAATCCGAGAAGGAGCAGATGCTGTCATAGCTGTTGGAGGAGATGGTACTCTTCATGAGGTAGAAAAAAACAAATTTATAAATATTGCTTTTTTGGATTCCAATCACTACATATTTCCCTTTAACTTAATTAATCCCAGTTGATTATCATCTTTATGAAAGTGAACTTAACATTCATGTAAATTGGGTATTTTTTCAGTCCTTGTTTCCCAATGTTCTTTATAACGTAGCATTTTTGAAGAAGCATTGCTATAGCACTTGAAGATGTTTTTTTATAATCAAGTTTACCATAGTTTCCTACAAATAATGAGTTTTAATTCCTTGCGCTTTTTGATCCATGAAAAACCCAAGTGGAGCTGCTATAGTTTGAACTGAAATGGCAAGGTTACAGTTTCTTAAATGTGAATTGAGTTAGCTCAATATATTTTTCTTGGTTCCTTTTGTTTCACTTAGATTTTTATTCGTGTATGTGATTCTAATTCTACATCTAACTCTGAACTATTTCATTCAGCCAACAATGTAAGATACTAAAAATGAAAAACCTATTGAAGGCAAGTTTTGATTATATGGACATCATAAACGCTAAAGGTTTCTCTTGCAGCGATCTCATTCCTTATGAAATGTTTTAATGCCTATCATACCTTTTTTAATTATGTGCATTTTGTGTCGGTTTTTGCTTTGGTTTCAAAAAGGGTTTCGTGTAGTTATTTAAGCTAGTAATGGACACCTAAGATTATACTCTCTTGGTTCTAATGATTATGAGTATGATTAGCAATTGATTTACTGCCTTTATCTCATTGCTTACTTCTCATAATGTCTCATTTTACAGCTAATTTAAAATATGTATCTATTTTGTTATCATCCTGTAAAGACTTGTAACCAACATAACATCAATCTTAAAAGTTTTGCACATTGTGTGCGTTAAAAACTCTTATTTGCACATGTTGTGACCTCTAGGTCATTCATTTCAACTAGCAGGTTGTCAACGGTTTCTTTTGGGCAGGAAAACAAATCTGTACTCTAGAAAGGGGTTCCACCATACATGCAACTGCACTTGGCGTGAGTAATTGGAGGCCACTGTTTCTTTATGTATTAAACCCTTTTCACTTCTTACATTGATTATTTAAAATTAAATTTTCATTTGCAGCTCCTTCCATTGGGAACTGGTTCAGATTTTGCCAGAACACTTGGCTGGTTAGTAGTATGATGTAATGACCCTTCTGATAAAATTAACTGTTAGTGATGATCTCATGAGAACGGGCTTTAATTTGTTTGACCAGGAAAAATGACCCTCATCAGGCAATAGAGCGAATTGCTAAAGGTACTTCAAGCAGCTCAACATAAATGTCCTTTTTTCAGCAATGACTCTTGTAGACTCAGCTTATCTCTGCAAAGTTATTTAATATTCACGAAGACCGTGGATCGATATGGATCAAATATATTTTGTATTACAATACGTTGTTATCAGTTCCATAAGATTTCCAGCTATAATTTGCTAAGGCTTAGATAAATCAGCTGCAGCTCGTCCATTCCTATTTTTAGAATAGAAGAGATTCTTGTCTAGTATTGCATGAATAACTGCCGTAACAAGTTGTTCATTAGTAAAAGTGAATAACTTGATAGGAGCAAATCTTGTTTGATAAATTATAAGCTGACTATAGAAAATCTTCCATTTATCATATCTATTAGCTTTATTTGATGATTTTCTGCCCCAAAATTCTATGAACAATACATGGAAAACTGAACTGTTAGCAGCCATGCTGTCTGAGAAGCACATCTTGATTTGGACTATGCCGGAAATATAAACAACGATCCTTTTCTAGATATATATATATATATATATATATATATTAAAAGGAGATGAAGGCAAAGGGATGGTGACCAGCGAATAAACAATGTGAGTGAGAAGGGGGAGACAGTGGATGGGCTCAGTGATAGAAGGCAAGATGGAGGAAGGGAATGTACTCGTGTGAATGAGGCAAAAAAAATTATATAGGAGTTGGTTAGCACAGGTTCAACTGAACCAAAAGCAGTGGTTCCATGTCATTTTAAGGGGAGATAAAGGGAAAGGCAAGGTGGCCCAGGCGATTAAATAGAGCGGGTGAGAAGGTGGAGATGATGGAGGGCTCGATAACAGAAGCCAAGACTGAGGTAGAGAGTGTAGTTGCATGGACATGACCAAGAGCAGAAGAAGTGAGGGCAGCAAGTAAGTGTGAGGAATGAGCCGACGGGTGTACTCGCATGGACAATAGAGCGCGGGCTTGAAGTGAGTAGGGTGAGTAGGTTGAGTAGAGTGAGAGCTCTCGACGGATCAACAAGCAAGTTTGCATCGATCAGACAACCAAACATGAGACCAAACTAGGTCTTCCGGGTTAGGGCATTGTCACTTGCGAGGAGGCAAGTTCTGGAGTTGTTCTTTTTTCTTCTTTTTGAAAGGTAAATCTAAACTTGATTTAGTTTTATTTATTTCTTTTTTTATTTGTTCTTTTTCGGGTAGACTCAAACCTGGCCCGGTGAGATTTTTCACTTTGTTTTTAACTGATATGTCCTGCATTCCAGCATGCATATTGAAGGTAAAATTATTATTATGTCATTCTAAGTTTACTTATTTCATGGAAGATAGATCTAGAAAGCAGGTCAGGGCTTTTATTCATTGTTGGTATTTAATTGAAATTTATGAACTTTTTCTATTTGATAGATATTATTTAATGAATCTTGAAAGCTAAATTGAGAAAATTAATATACATATAACACTTGGAAAATGAAATCGATATTCAACGATTTACATATTACTTAAGGAAAATGAAAATATGTTTATATATTCTTATAAATGAGAATTTAGGGAGTTGAAGAAAAATAATTGAAATTCTTAATTTAAAGTATTATATTATTTTGAAAAAATTAGGAATTCATTTTTATTATACAATGTTTGGTGGCCATTTTTTTTAATAAAAAAAGATGATATTTTTTTCTCAATATTATTAAAATAAAAGGTTTGTAGTATTAATTATTTGATTAGTAGTAAGTATAAATATAGTTAAGATCAAATGAAGAATTAAAACAAACTGTTAAAGTTTGAAAGAACGAATACAATAACTAAAATAAAAGATTTGTAGTATTAATTACTTAATAACAGTAAGTATAAATATAGTCAAGCTAAAATGAAGAATTAAAACAACCTTTGAAAGTTTTAAGAATGAATACATGCAATGTTAGGTAAATAGAAAACAAATATTTAAAAGAATTTATCCTTTGATTTGAGTAACTTATTGGAATATCTATTTATGGGGTCAAGATTGAGGTTTAAATTAAGGAATATTGTTTGCACATTAAGAATTGAGGTGGGAACTCATATTTCCAAATCATAACAATAATGTTCATTTTTACAAAGCTAGTTGCATTAGATAATTATTTTTATTTACTGATATTGCAAATTAATCATGGTTTAATTTTACTTCTAGGTGTATTGGTCATACTGGAATGATTGTCATAGATCTCTGAATATATTTAAACTTATTTATTACGTACACTAATTATTATAAAAAAAATATTGAATCATATGAAAATCGATTGAAATGATCTATTTAAAATATTTGCATGTACATGTTGACTGATAGAGTGTCTCCCCCTTATGATTATAATCAGGGACACTAAACTACTCATGCATATATATAGAAAAGAATATTGATATTAAAGTATCTTAAATAATATATTTTAGATAATATTTCTGTGATAGATGTAGGGTTTAAAATAATATAAATAAAATATGATATTATGCTTAATTTATATTAATATGATTTGAATATTTTACACGGGCATATTTAAATAAAGTGTCGAATGATCTCATACCAATTTATTGCATTTAACAAGCATGCATTTTGTCTCTTTAACTCTTTTATGTTATTGTAATTTTAGAGATATGTGTATCCACTATGTTATTGATAACTCATGCTGATTTAAATTAATATGTTTTAGGATCAAGTTTTGGGCTATAACATGAGTGATAATTAAAAAAATAATTTGTAGAAGATGTGACTATACAAGAAAATGGCAATTATATTTATAACTGCTTTATTTTAACATGATTTGAATTTTATTCATTTGTGATCCTTTTGATTTAATGGGTAATTATTATTATTTTTTGTTGATAATAATTGAACTTGAATTTCCCGCTCCACTATTTGCTCTCCTTTTGATAATTCGAAGCTCCAAGTTAGGTCATGACATAAGAACACTTTATAACTTCAATCCTGGAGTTTTTCCTCTTTTTCATTTTTTATTGTGAATTCAATCTTGGATTTTAGGCGGCAGATACCATTGAATGTAAAATTTATAGGATTTAGGGTACTGGATTGATCAGAATCTCATGGTTGATGGGGATACTATTGAGATGAGTTGTAAAATAAAAGCCAATTCTTGAAAAATGTTTCAATCCATCGTGATTGAAGGACTGGATTGCTTTTTCCGGAGATGTAATTCTCTCAAATTATCATCCTAAAAGGCAGTGCAGCAGCTGTATATTTGTCTAATGGATATTATAAAGATTCTGGTAAATCCCTTTCTGAATTGTTCTTATCTGGCTGCTTTTGCAAGAAAATACCTAGCGGAGGCTGGAGAGAAAGAAAGGATGAATTGCTTCAATACTCTACTTCAAAGTAAATGGAAATTTTGATGTATGGAGGCCAAAATATTTTGGCTATCCTAATCATTTATGCGTTTGTGTATGTATTTATTCTTTTTTAAGTTTATATGGATGAAATTTTCTTTAAATCCAAAAACTTTGATTGATTAAATTTTATTTTTTTACTTATGTAAAGTTGCTTGTTTTGATCCTTGCTGCTTCATTCAAAATTCACTGCAATTCTTATGTTTTGTTTGGGTAACTAGGACCGCAATTTCTCTTATATTTCATGCAGGATTGAGATCTAAAATAGATGTTGGCCTCATTACCTTACTTGGAGAGGAACATCATTACTTCATTAATGTTGCTGATATACATCTGTGTGTGCATCAACTTTGTTGTTTGATTCCGAATCTCGAATCGATTGTTTATGATGAACTATTATTTTATTTTTTGAGATTGCAGGAGTGCAAAGGCAGGCTACTATTCTTCCAAGTACAAAAGTTTTGGAAACTTCTGTTATGTTTTGGGAGCCTTGAGAGCATTTATTGGGCACCAGAATGAAAACCTTAAGATCAAGGTAATATCAAATAAAATATGTTATATAGGCTTTCTGATATGCCTTTCCTATTCAATCAATTCTGTTTTTTGCTCTTTCAAAGTATGGTGTATGCTACATCCTAGGTCAATGGCCAAGATTGGGTGGTATTTGATAAAGTCACAGCTCTTTGCATTGGGAATGCTAAATTCTTTGGTGGTGGCATGAAGATTGTACCTACTGCTGATCCGTACAGTGGAAATCTGGAGGTTCTTCTAATTTTATTGTTTTTCCCCTGTGAGTTGTAAATTCAAAGGGTGGTTTTACTGGAATTGTAATTTTAATACTCATATGAATCAGGTGGTAATTCTTCAAGACTTCAAATGGTATGATTTTGTTTTCAAGTTATACAAGCTGTACAATGGGTCTCATATATCAGAAAAAAATGTGTGCTCAATAAGGTATTTTTTTTTTCTTTTTTATTGATGTTTCATTAAAATTTTGTCTGGTTTTACTATTATATGCTTTCCAGCCTTCCCTATAAAATTTCTCTGTTGTTGATTCTATATTAGGGTTCTATATGTCTGATTTATGTGCAATAAAAGTCTACCTAAACCTTAAAAAAATATTTTAAATAAAAAATTTAACTAGATGAAAATTCATTCGAGTTATGTAGAAAAGCATTCCTGATTAACATGCTGAAGTTGAGGTTGTGATAAGCATCATCGTCACTTGCATTCTCCTAGTTATTTGGAATTGGCTTTAGGAATCCTCATCTTTCATTTGGGGTAGGGAATATGAATCATCATTTTTTATTCGTTCATATTTAGTGATGTTTGAGATATTAAACATATTCTTCACAAATTATTTTGCACATATATCCATGTAACTTTTGATCCACTCTTTTATAATGCTCTAGCATGAATTTTATATATCATCTATTGTCTTTCCTTCATTGAACATCCAAAAACCTAAATTTTATTTTCAATTATCTTGTCTTTAAAAGATGTCACACAAATTGTTTCTCATTTTTTAATATATAATGTGTACTTTATTCTCACGTCTTTTTTAGGATTCTCATTTTTCTCATTGTTTAACTTAGATATTAATGTCCTCTTTTGCAACCCAGCATTCATTTCCATACAATATCATTAACTTAATTGTGATTTTATATAATTTGCCTTTAATTCTCTACATTATATTCTTACCACGCAAAACTCTAATGATACTTTTCCATTTTAAACTTTTTGCTTTAACTCTAGAAGTTAGATTTTCATAAATATCATTATTTTTTTACTTTAATTGATTTGAGACACTTAAACCTATCATTACTTAGGCTTCATCTTATCTGCTGATCGTTGATTGTTAACATCACAACCATTAAAATTTGATATCATATACTCATTATTGTTTTACTAATTTTAAAAATTCTATCTTCTAAACTTGTTATTAAATTTTTAAAATTTTCAATTGTTTTAATAAAAATTTCATGAATTAAAATAATATCATTTGTAAAAAGTGTATATTAAGAAATCTCATTTTTGAGTATTCTTTTGTAATAATCACCATAAACAACGAAAATGATATAACTTTATTGTTGACCCTTGATGTAACTCTACTGTAATGATGAACTTTTTCCTTAGTTTTACATTACAACTATTTCTCATACTAAGCTGTGTTCGTCATATCTTTAATAACATCAATGTAATTTTAACACATGTTTTTACTTTAATGTGCACGAAATTAATTATCCTAATTTTTTATCATATTTCTTTTGAAGGTCAATAAAAATCATATTAAAATCCTTTCTTTGTTCTATATACTTTTACATTAATTATTTAAACATAAACCATTCATATAATAGATCTTCTCTTCACGAAAATAAAATAGTTTGCCAAAATTTTTGTAATTTTTGTCTTTGTTCTATTACTCTCTCTTTCTCCCTCTTTCTTTGCTTCATTGTGTCTCATAAATTTAATTTTTATATAGTTAGCACAAACTTGAACAATACCTTTATTGCTAAGTTTTGGTTCTAAAGTGTATCTTTGCCGGTAGTCTGATGTCTTCAAAATTCTATTGAACAAATCTATTAAACAAATCACTATATTACTCTCGTAATTTTTCTGCTCTCAATAGTTAATTGAAGGCCTAGCTTTCTGCTTCTTTTTAAAAGTTCAATTTTCTTTTTTTGTATCGATTAACTATATATTTCATTATCTTATTATGCTTTTTCAATAATGAAGCTCTCATTTAGTAATTTCTAGGCAAAATTTTCATTTATATTTGATGTTTCCATCTATATCCATGATCCTATTCTTTGCTTCTAATGCATCTAACTTGATTAAAGATATATATGTTGACCTCATTTTTAGTGAGGTTTAGTCTTTCTCTTAGGGTTTAGGATCTAGTTTTAGGAATCTCCCTTTGACTATCTTAGAGCCTAGAAGTGGGACCCGCCTTGTTTTAAAAATTCAACCTACTTCTGTACTCTTTTGGGGTTTCGCCTGTGTGGTATCGACTTCTAGCACTTAGAAGGGTGAAACCAACATGAGGGAACCCAAAAGGAGCCCCTTTAGGACCTTTAAGCCTTATAGTGGCTTTTTCCACAATTTGCACTCTCGCACGCACAAACTTCGCAGTTCGGAGAGTCGACACGTCCGATCACTACAATTCGCATCGCTTGCACCGTTATCTGTCGAGGACTTGAATAGATTTTTGGAGACGATCGATCGCAGGTTGAAATTTTTTTGAAATTTGAATTTTGACGCGTTTTTGACCCGATTGTCGACGACGGGCGTCCGAGCGACCCGGAAGACAAAACGGACTGCACCGGCGCGTCCAGAATGTCGATTTTGTCTAGAGAGGACACCCATTTTGCTAGGGCACCGTGCGTTTCCTCTTTAAGCCCTAAATCCCTAAACTCACGCACCCAAGCTCTGCCTCCTTTTCCCTCTCCCCTTTCTCGATCTCGAGCCCTAGCCGAGCCGGCCGAGCCCCTTCTCCTCCACGTGAGAGAGAGTTGACCCCTCGTCCGTCCTTGTCCGACATGTTCTGCCCTCGACTCTCCTTCCCGAAGCTGCGCCTGCCTCCACGAGTTGCGATTTTCCTTTTTTGGTAGGTTGACTCTGATGAGCTTGCTCCCTGAGACACTTGAGTGACAACCTTCTCTTCTTTCTTCTTCCCGATGCCTCTCTCGCTGCCACTCGGCTCGCCACTTGGTCTTGGGCACTTCGGCTGCCTCGCCTTCTGTAAGCAGAGAGAGGGTTCTTTTTATTCTTTGGCCCGATTCGAGTACCGGGAAGGGGTTGGATGGTTTCATTCTTTCCCCCCTCTCTTCTCTGCTTATAAGTATAGTTTCTTTGGGTTTTGGGTGGTTGTTGAAAATTTCCTAAGGAGAGGGGAAGTGGAGAGCTTTGCTGTTGGAAGACTTTAGGAGGGAGAGATTTCTGTGGGAGCATCTTCTTGAATTTATTTTTACAGTGCAGTGCTTTAAATTTATGCTAAGAAGGTATCTCTTCTTCCCCCTTTTTCTCCTGTGCCTTGGTTTCCTGCGGTTTTCTCTCTGTCGAGCCCCTTTGCTCGGTTTAGTGGATAATACAACATGCTTATGTGATATTACACTTATGTTTTCTTTGAAATACTTGGTACTCATGCATCTAGAAATGGAAATGTGAGCATATTCTAGGAGCTAGACTTGATTGCTTGCTTAAAGTAGTGAAGTGATGGCATCTTTCTATTTTTTGTAGCGTATTTATATTGGAAGCAGCTAGAGGGTTGAAACATGGCTTTGAGATAATTTTAGTTCCTCTTGCAAGCATGTTGGGATATGTATTATGAAGCTTTTCATCTATTTTCATTTAGCATGAGATATTGGAGAGTTTATTTGGTCTTTCATGCATGTTGGGGGTTCGGTTTTGGCATCTTATGACTTTCTCTTACTTAAAATGCATGTTATGAAGAAGTTCACTTTGATTTGGGAAATGTTCTATAGTTTGCTCTAATAATTTGGTTTGACCCCTCGAAGGGGGGCATCTTTCATGTTTGGATGTTTGAGGGAAATTAATTCATGCTTAGAACGACTATATTGGTGGCCTAAAAATGCTTTTCATGACACTGTTATAGTTTAAAATCTCTTTTGGCTCTATATGCTGATGTTTTACAGGCTTGTGAGCTATTCCTTGGCTTTGAATGGCTCGGTTTTACCGTGAAATGGCTGGAACTTTAATTTCTGTTAAAGCTTGAGTTTCTATCCATGCTCGGGCCCTGTTTTAGCCTTGAGTGGCTCAGTTTCTGGCCTCCATTGAGGTTCGGTCTTACCTGTTCTAGCTCTTGATTCTTTCCTGATTATGAGGCTTATTTTCGTTCGATTTGGGGCGTGGCTTTATCCTTTTTGCCCCTGCTAGTTTTCGGTTTGCCTAAAAAAAAATGGCTGGGGTTGGATTTGCTATTGTATACTGCATTTGATTAGCCTTTAAAGCTTTGATTTGATCTCTTTAGGGGTTCAGTTTTCACCTTGGAAAGGTTGGAGGCTGGGTTTTGGATTGAAATCCTGTCTTGGGTATGTGAGTTTTAATTGTTAACCTTGAGGGATTTATTTTGGCTTGATTTTGGAGCTTGGTTTTTGTCTGGTTCTGCTCCTACCCGAGAGGTAGCTTGAGAGCTTAATTTGGTTTGTTCCTACCCCTACCCGTGAGCCTGCTAGCAATCCTTTGGGGTTGTTTGGCTCTTCCTACACGAAGTGGCTTGGGTGTTGATTGATGAGTCAAGTTTAAATTATATCTTTGCCCTATCTATAGAGTGAGGTAATAAAAAACAAATTGAACATATTTCTTATGTCCTACTTGGTGAAATTGGAGTCGGTTTGGAGGCTTTGTGAAGGTTTGTCCATTCGCTTGTCCATTCTTTGTCCATTCACTCTCTTATGTATATCAAATATCTTCATATAATTGATTCAGTTTGCCTTAGCCGTGAGCCTCCCCTTCTTCTGTGCCTCGGGTTGCCTTGGCCGTGAGTCTCTTTTGGCCTTGGGTTGCTGTTGTGCCTTGAGTTGGCTGTGGTTGTGGGTCTTAGCAGCTGCTCCTTGCTGCCCTGAATCGTGAGCCTTAACAGTTCTTTTATGGGCCCTTTTATTGCCTTAGCCGAAAGTCTTGGTGGCTATACTCTCCTCTATTGACCCTGGCCGTGAGCATTTATTTGGTTGTATGAGAAGATTCCATGCTTATTTGATGTATGAGACTATTTATTAATTTGAAGGTTGGAGAATCTTGATTTTGGTATGAGTTTGGAAATATTAGTGGTGGTTTCCTCGATGTCACTTTCTTTTTGAAGTTTGAGAGATTTTAAGTCTTATTTTGGAAAAGCATTTGGTTGGAACGGGTTAATTTCATAAAAGATGTCATTGGGGTTTGGATAGCGGTGTCAGGAGGTCATTTTTACTTGAGTTGGTCCAATTTTGAAAAAG